ATAAGCACACTCTAGTGTTCCGGGACTTCCATTTTTCTCAGAGTCAACCACAGCTTGTTGTGATACTCACAGTTAAATGCCTTTTGGATAGTCAATGAAACACAGACATTCCTATGGTTTTCCTTGCTTTCAGCCAAGATCCATGTAACATTAGCTATGATATCCCTAGTACCATGGGATATTCTAAACCCAGCCTGCATTTCAGGTGGTTCTCTGTTGATGTGTTGTTCCAGTTGTTTTTGCATAAGCTTCAGCAGAATCTTGCTTGCATGTGATATTAATGATACTGTTTGATAATTTCTATACTTTGTCAGGTCACCTTTCGAATGGGAACAAATATAGATCTCTTCCAGTCAGTTGGCCAGGTGGTCTTCTTCCAAATTTCTTGGCACTTTGTAAGCACATCCAGGGCACCATCTGTTTGTTGAAATTTGTCAATTGGCATGCCATTAATTCCTGGGGCCTTGTTTTTTGCTAAACCTTTCAGAACTTCTTCCTTCATCAGCACAGGCTCTTGCTCATACATTGTTTCATTCAATTCGTCTGTGTCTGCCAATTCCTTTTGATACAATGGCTCTGATACTCTTTCCGTCTTCTTTTAATGCTTCCTGGATCATTTACTATTCTGCCCAAAGTATCCTTAAGTATTGCAACTCAAGTTTTCAATTTGTTCTTCAGTTCCTTCAGCTTAAGAACTGTTGAGCTAGTTTGACCCCTTTAATTTTCAGATTCTAGCTCTTTGCACATTTCATTGTAATACTTTGCTTTGTCTTCTCACACTGCCCTTTGAAATATTTTCTTCATCTCCTTAATATCTTGATTTCTTCCCTTTGCTTTAGCTTCTTGGCAATTCTGTGTAACATTCAAAGTCTCCTCCGACATCCATTTTGGTCTTCTCTTCCTTCTCTGTCTTGTAATGACTTTTTGCATTCTACCTGAATTATATTCTTGATATCCTCCCGCAGTTCATCTAGTCTTCATTCATTAGTGTTCAAGGTCTCAAACCTGTTATTGAGATGGTTTTGAAATTCGGAGGAAATAAACTCAAGGTCAGATTTTGATTC